CACCTCATTGATTTTAAAGGGCATTTCCCTCGTTTGAGATCGCCTGAATGCATGTTGCCATTCTCCCTTGAAATACAGGGCATTGACAAGAACCAGTGTTGTTGTGTCGTTAACTGCCGCTGGATCCAACATGTCTGTAATTTTACCTACAGAAGAGAAATTAACAACCAAAATGCCAGCTGAAAGACACATAAAGTAAGGGAAATGATCAACCTGCAATCAGACAGACTGACACCAAACCAGGAGGTAAAAATCCTTATTTATCTTTTATTTTTACTTGTACACTGGCAGGTTAGCTGCACCAAATCACTAATGTACCCACACCAGTGCTCTCTCACCATTGGTTTGGGCCTCCACCCACTGGTTGATTTGACAGCGGGATTCCTCTGCTGCGCCTATGAAGTCCACCGGCTCCAGTTCAGCTTGGTAGAACTTCCGTGTCGCGTCCAAGAACTCCTGTAATAATTCAGAAAAGTCAATGTTAATTTTTACTGGGGACAACCATATGACAAAGATAATTGTTAAGGTGAATAAAATTTGAATTACAGTAACATTTCGTCAATGAAAATGCAGGATCATCTTAAAGCAGCAGTATCATTGGTCAGTTCTCATATGCTGCTACTCTTTCCCACTTTTGATTGGGCAGGATGTCTGGCAGCCTCAGTGTTGTGGAAGATGAAAGCAAAATGTACAACAATGAGTGTGACTCACTTTCAGGAAGCTGAAGGTCTTTTCGCCATAGAGACGGTTGGCGAGTGTCAGCTGGTAAGGGGCATCAGGTTTGTCAATATTGGAAATAAACTTCTGTAGATCTGAGTGGAGGTCAGGGGTCATGTTGAAAGATAGAGTCTGTGAGGAAAAAAAGAGACCAGCAGGGGCAAAGAGCAAAGGGTTAAATAAGGTTAATCTGGGTTAACAAGTCCTCCTGCTATGGTGACTGAATCTGTTCATAACCAGTCTTTTATCAGTTGGCTTCTAAAGCGGCTTACTGATTAGTCTGCGTATGAATGCTCCCTAATAGTAAAACACACTCAAACCCTACAAAGGTGAGATAATATGGAACTCTCAAAATGCTCGCACACCTACAGAGAAAAGGATTCCCACCTCCACTTCGTGTGTGTGGACTTTGCATGTCCCCCCGTGTCATGAGGGTTCCGTCCCACAGTCCAAATATATAATGCAAGGCCAGATGAATCTCTAGATTATGATCTGCAAAGGACTGATTTCCCATCCGGAATGATCCCCTGATTTTTTGTGACTGACTCTTAACTAGGGGTTGGGGGGCTTCAACGGTTCATCAACACTTCGTCACTGTACAATGAAAACCACGTATGTCCACTTGACTGCATGTCCACTTTGACTTTATTATAGATGCAATATGCCCATGCTCCTCCGTCTACTGATGTCATTTGACATCTAACTGACAAAATGGAAAGATGTTTCTTGACTTCATCTATTTAACTAGTATCTCTGTTGGATGTCAGAAGTATCCATCAATACCATGCATCCCCCACCCCGTGTTTGGAAGGGGCGTCAACCAGAGCAGCACGAATCTAGGGTAAAATATGAGTCACGATTTTTTTTTTCCACTCAAAACTGAGATCATAATTTTTTCCTCACGATTCTTGAGGAATATATTTCTCTCTTTATTATTCTTATACTCTGAGGATGAAACCCGATTGCTCTCTGCCGTCATGCTCCCTCACCTGGTCTCATTCACCAGAGTACTGACGCTGTCTGATTACCATGCATCACTATGCCCTGCTTTCCCCGACTGCTTTATATCCCTCTTGTGTGGTTAGGTATGAGTGTATCTCCTGCTCCAGACATTTTAAGCGCAGATGATTTGATCATATTTCAGCAAAGTGCGGGTAGCTTGACCGCAGTTAAAGAAACCATTTCATCTTCTATCTTGGACTTGTGAAATGCTGTTTGGTACACGTGGCGCTCTTGGTTTAATTTCGGGTAGGATTTGAGCCCATTTTGAACAGAAAGCTCCATCTAGTGAGGTCAGAAAATATAGCACATTGTTCCAGAAGCATCATTTTGGCCATCACTATGGTTTGGCAAGTGCTTGTCTCGTTCTGACGATAAAGAAAAGTTTATAACTACAATTAACCATCTGGTTTCTTCAATTTTAACTCAGAAGTAAAAGTCAGCCTTTAAACTGGAGAGAAACAATGACTTAAAATTTATTCCGACAATTATCAGTGTCGACAGATATGAAAATTTTATTGTGATGACACTTTTGACCATATCGCCCAGCTCTAAGTTAAAGCACTGAATGTATGGAGTGTATCTGCCCAGCTGTCTTTGGGTAATAGCCTTCACCCCACGTTTAACTCCATTCATCACTGCTGCAACACCAAAACACTGACTCAAGATGTTTTCTGAGTGTGACAAGTGATCTAGAATTTCAGAGGCAATGTACTCAGCATCAAGCTGCTTCAGTTCAAGTAAACCTGCCAGGTGTTCCTCTGGTATTCCATTGCATACAAACATCACCATGACTGAAAGGTTTTGTTAATTGCACCTGTGCTTGGTGCCATCACATTTGATGCAGTAGCCTGTACATATCTGTTCTACGTTTCTTTAATGATCATTTTGGCAAGTGTGTCAGTTCATTCTGAATAGTTTTGGAAGTGTATTTGTATGTGTATTTTTTGGAACTCAATGTAATATGTCAGCCAATATTTTACCTTTTTCAAGTGTTTGAATAATTTCAGAAACAGACCAGCAGCCAGGCCATCAGAGCATTCCTCATCATTCATGTTTTCCTGATCGCCACGTACGGAAAGCTCATTCACTGTAAGAAATTTCACCACCTCTCCAATACTCTTAAATTAGTATTTGTTCTTTTCTACCTGTTGAGTGCCCCAACAGTCGTGCCCATTTCCTGTCGTGTTTTATATTCTTTCCAATTAGAGACAGCGTGTATGCATGCTTTTGTAGCCCACAATTGCATTCTAGTGCCACTTTCCAGGTACTAAATGCTGTTGACATCTTTGTCATGACATGCGGGGCTACTAAATACCAAACAAGGGAAGCAAAAGCAAGGATGTTTTTTGATGGAATATTCAAGCCAGGGTCTAGACTTATACCACATGGCAGAGAAACATCTCTCCCTACCACCGATTTCTTGCCACTGATAAATTTTTAAAACCGACTGGCGTGGGGATTGTCTGATCAAATCATTGGCAACACTGCTACCACTGCTAGTTGGACCAGCAGCATCATCGCTGCAAGAAATATCAGTGGAACTAGAGTGAGAGTACGATCCACTAGGCTGAACATTAGTGGCTATCACACTATCTGTGGTGGCTTTTTTCAGCACCAGAAATCTATATACCTACTATATACATTTCTAGACCAGAAATGTTTCAAGTTCGTAAATTTAGGCTAAACTCCTGTGACTAGCTACCTAACTAGTGTGTTCAGCTACCCAATGCAGTTAGCTAGCAACCTATCAAAAATGTCTTAATGTTTAGCTAGATAAATAACCACAAAGATGAAAAAAGAACAAAAATTGATACGAACAAAATGAGATGGAAAAATGGTTGCTGATATTATTTTCAGTTTATGTACAGGTAGCAAAGTCTGTTAGTAGATACACTTAAAACACATGTTATCATCTCCGTTCGCATGAATGGTGATGGCCTGCAGAGTCGCGAAATGGCGAAATGTCCTTGTGCTGTTACATTAGTACTGTTGGGTTTGCTGTACTTGGAAAAATGTGTTTTTAATTGTTTTTGATAAATCTGGCGATAAAGGTGCAGAACGGTGAATGTCTTTCTGATTTATTACAAGATTCATAAAAATACATTAACTTTACTCAATAACTACATATAAACACAAGTTTTATGTAAAAGTTCACCTTAACTCAATAATTACATGTAAACACACAAGGCTAATGTAAAACTTCACATTAACTCCATGTGCAAGACATAATGATCAAGTAATGTTAAGGTAAACCCTTATGTGTCTATTTAATTATTACCCAAAGTTTACACAGGAATTTACATTAAGTTTATTTAATTTACTTAAGTATACTCAACATGATAGAAACAAGACCCTTTACATTAAACTTATGTAATAAAATTACATGGAAAATTGTCATGTAATTAAAATACAAAAAGTTTTTGGCATAATTATTTTTTTGGAGTGTAAGAAGATTCATATTTTTGTTAGGTTTATGCGCAAAACAAAGATACATTTTCTAATAGTTATTCATTATTGTATTGTATCCATATAATTTGCTGTCTATATATAATAGTCCCAAAATGTAATAAAAGATTCAAAGCGAACGGTTTAATGAAAAGTCAATTTGAACTAAAAAATGTTTTAATCACAGTTTAAAAATAATATATTCTGTATTGCTTTAAAGTGGTAACACAACATGCCGACAAATGACCATACTGCATCTTTAATACATGTGGCAATAAACACATATGTGATAACTAAAACTAATATACAGAGCGGCTTATTCAGGACCTCCACCCCCCGCCGCCGCAGCCGGTCTGTACTTGACAGGGCTGCCCCTCCTCTCTGATTCTGGTTTAATTCCTGGATGTAACCCAGCTTAACCAATTACTATATGCTAATTTAGAAGACAGCAGGATCACAGAAGCCAGGCCGCTAGACGGAAACAGCCGGACTCTCTACCTTCGCCATCTGAGCCGCCGTGTTCCCTTTAGCGCCCAGGTAGACCATGGCGAACGCCGCGCTGATGCTCAGGGGGGAGAAGATGATGTTGCCGCTGGTCAAACACACCTCTCGGTAGAAGTCGAGGGCGAACTGCGTGTTTGCGCTGCTAACATTCTCCATAACTGTACAGAAACATGATCGGCAATAAGGCGTCATTTTTTATATTTTAAAATTACTGAAATGAATTCCGTAAATTTGTCATCAGAATAAAAAAAAACGACTTCAAACTTTCAAAAACTCAAATGTATGACTATTTGAAAGCTTGGCAATTTATACTAACGGTCTTTCAGTTTTCTAGCTTCAATAACTTTTCACGGAAGTAAGGTGGGGCGTTTTTAGTGGTAAAATCGTGTTGTCCAGTCCACAGACAACGATGCACACCGGTTATTTTGTCGCTTCAAACCATTTCGTGATTTGTGCAAAATCGCGTTAATAGCTCATAAAATAGGTCCTGTCAGCTGTAATGACATGGTCGGTTAGCATTTTGGGCTCATGGCGACTGTTGCACACCCCTTTGTTTCCCAGATTGCTTTACGTACGATTTTTAATTAATTTTTGAATGTTCGAACGTATCCGTATAATGTGCAATGGGACAATACATGAATGGGTTAATAACTTTAAAACTAGACAAGACAGGCACTTCTAGTGAAGTGTGCATGG